TTTTGTACAATTTATTTCTAGTTTTATATCTTTGTGGTCTGAAAAGGTGGTTGGTAGGATTTCAATCTTTTGGAATTTACTGAGGCTGTTTTTGTGGGCTAATATGTGGTCTATTCTGGAGAATGTTCCATGTGCACTTGAGAAGAATGTGTATCCTGTTGCTTCTGAATGTAGAGTTCTATAGATGTCTATTAGATCCATTTGTTTTAGTGTGCTGTTCAGTGCCTCTGTATCCTTACTTATTTTCTGCCCAGTGGATCTATCCTTTGGAGTGAGTGGTGTGTTAAAGTCTCCCAAAATGAATGCATTGCATTCTGTTTCCTCCTTTAATTCTGTTAGTATTTGTTTCACATATGTTGGTGCTTCTGTATTGGGTGCATATATATTTAGAATGGTTATATCCTCTTGTTGGACTGAGTCCTTTATCATTATGTAATGTCCTTCTTTATCTCTTGTTACTTTCTTTGTTTTGAAGTCTATTTTGTCTGATACTAGTATTGCAACCCTTGCTTTTTTCTCCCTATTGTTTGCATGAAATACCTTTTTCCCTCCCTTGACTTTTAGTCTGTGCATGTCTTTGGGTTTGAGGTGAGTCTCTTGTAAGCAGCATATAGATGGGTCTTGCTTTTTTATCCATTCTATTACACTCTCTGTCTTTTGATTGGTGCATTCAGTCCATTTACATTTAGGGTGATTATTGAAAGATATGTAGTTATTGCCATTGCAGGTTTTAGATTCATGGTTACCAAAGGTTCAAGGTTAGCTTCTTTACTACCTTACTGTCTAACTTAACTCATTTATTGAGCTAGTACAAACACAGTCTGATGATTATTTCTCTCCCTTCTTATTCCTCCTCCTCCATTCTTCATGTTGTGTGTTTTGTTTTGTTCTGTGCTCTTTTTAGGAGTGCTCCCATCTAGAGCAGTGCCTCTAAGATACCCTGTAGAGGTGGTTTGTGGGACGCAAATTCCCTCAACTTTGGCTTGTCTCAGAAATGTTTAATCCCTCCTTCATATTTGAATGATAATCTTGCTGGATACAGTATTCTTGGTTTACGGCCCTTCTGTTTTATTGCATTAAATATATCATGCCATTCTCTTCTGGCCTGTAAGGTTTCCATTGAGATGTCTGATGATAGCCTGATGGGTTTTCCTTTGTAGGTGACCTTTTTTTGTCTCTGGCTGCCTTTAATCCTCTGTCCTTGTCTTTGAGCTTTGCCATTTTAATTATGTGTCTTTGTGCTACCCTCCTTGGGTCCCTTGTCATGGAAGTTCTCTGTGCTTCTGTGGTTTGAGAGGTCATTTCCTCCCCTAGTTTGGGGAAGTTTTCAGCAATTTTTTCTTCAAAGACACTTTCTATTCCTTTTTCTCTCTCTTCTTCTTTTGGTACTGCTATGATGCGAATATTGTTGTTTTGATTGGTCACACAGTTCTCTTAATATTCTTTCATTCCTGGAGATCCTTTTCTCTCTCTTTGCATCAGCTTGTCTGCGTTCTTGTTCTCTGATTTCTAGTCCATTAATGGTCTCTTGCATCTCGTCCATTCTGCTTTGAAGTCCTTCCAGAGATTGTTTTATTTCTGTATTCTTCCTCCTTAGTTCTTGCATATTTCTCTGCAAGTCCATGAGCATGGTTATGCCTTTTGTTTTGAATTCTTTTTCAGGAAGATTGGTTAAATCTATCTCCCCAGATTCCTTCTCAGGAGAGAATGTGGAAGATGTCTGGGTCAGCCTGGACTGGATCAAATTTTTTTGCCTTTTCATGTTGATAGATGCAGTCGTATGCTATTGATTCATCTGTCAGCTGGGAGAGCCAGGACCCTTTCCCCTTGCTCCTGGCCTTTCTTTACTGGGACAATGGCGACCCCTAGTGGCTTGTGTTGGGCTGGTGCGCACAGACTGGGTCTCTTTTTCTTGCCCAGCCACTATGGAGGAAGCTCCCTTGCTGTGGGCGTGGCTAGCCTCAGGCTGCTGCTCTGCTACGTTGGGGCCAGGCTGGAGGGGGAACGGACAGGGGGCTGTTTCTCACCGTGAGGGGTTTCAAAGCTGCTGCTCAGGTGGGTAGGGCCCCTGGAGTTCGCTGGGATTCCCAGCTGCTGGGCTAAGTGTCCCAGGATGCTTCCGTCCAGTTGTGGGGTCCCTGTCCCTTTAAGACTTTCAAAAAGCACTCGCTTTTCTTTGTCCCAGGGACACCAGCTGCGGGGACCCGCCCGCAGGTCTTATTGTCCCATTTCCCTAGTATTCAGCACCCCACACACTGTGTGTCTGCACTCTGGGTGCAGATGGCTAGGGCTGGCTATTTAGCAGTCCTGGGGCTCCCTCTCCCTCCCCGCTCCGACTCCTCTCCTCCTGCTGTGAGCTGGGGGGAGGGGCGCTCGGGTCCCGCCAGGCTGGGGCTTGTATCTTACCCCTTTCGCAAGGTGCTGGGTTCTCGCAGTTGTGGATGTAGTCTGGCGTTGTCCTGTGTCTTCTGGTCTGTCTTTTTGGAAGAGTTGTATTTGTTGTATTTTCGAAAATATATGTGGTTTTGGGAGGAGATTTCCACTGCTCTACTCACACTGCCATCTTGGCTCCTGGATCCTAGTACTAATCTTTCTTTTAGGTAGTTTTATAAGTAGACTAAAAAAGTATCTGTTAAATATTAATGACAAAATGAGTAAGAACTGATTTAAGTGCTATAAACAGGAATAATTTTACACAGAGTAATGAAACATAAGCTTTCATTACACACTATAGGAATGGTTGCTCATGATTTTACACAAAATAATGAAACATAAGGACCTTTATTCTCCTGGGCCTCTTTGCAGGCCTTTTGAAGGGTCCTATGAATTTTGTATTTATAGTTTCATATTCTTTTTCTTAAAAGGGACCCCCCAAATATATAAACTAGGGGACTCACAAAATTTGAATTAATCCATAGATATGGTTAGTTCCTGGATATAAGTATCCATTTAAGTGGGATAGTATAAACATGGGGAGGAAAATTATGAATTATAAATCAAAAGAAAAAATAATTATTACATTATTTTTATTCACTTTAAGAGCTACCATGTAATAATTCACATTTAGAGGTGAATGTCACAAATATTGAGATTAAAACAAAAATTACAAAGTTGAGTTAAAATTTTTACCTCAAAGGTGGTAACATTTTTGTGAACCCCAAAATTGATTAACTGGGGTTATATACTTTAAGGGTTATATACTTTTACTGTAGTTTACTTCTAATGCAGTTCTCATCCTGGTTGCTTATTCTCTAAATCCCCACACCATCCCAAACCAATTAAAACAGACTCTCTGGGGTGGAACATAGGCATCAATATATTTTAAACCTTGTTCATTCCAATATAATATACTGGCTGAGAACCAGTGTGCTAATGTAATAATTTTTCACCCAGTTTCTATAATCTCAATTTTTGCCACTTCCCTCTGCCATCACCCCCAATTTTTATTATTTTGCTGTCTCGTTCTATAGCCATCTCAATTGTGGTTATGTATATACGGAACCATAGAGCCAGTAATTTTGAAATTTCTGATTAACTGATTTGATTGTTTATTGGTTGAGTTAATCAAATTATTTTTGTATCACATTAGTTCCATCAGCTTGAAAGCAGTCACTGTTAAATCTTTTTCTGTAAAAGGTTTAATACAAAATATTCTGACTTATTTTGTCATCTCTATATGGCCATGTTTTTAAAACAAACCTTTTTGTGAAATACTAATATATTTCATTTAATAAATGCCTTCTGTAAATGTCTAAGAAAAGTTACTAAAAACCCAGCAATGAACATTTATGTTGAAAATGTAAAGTTAGGTGTCTAGACACAAACCTAAAGTCTAAAATTATTGACTGTAATTATGGCGTCAAAGGTATGTGAAAGAGGCTTAATTACTTCATCTTAAGTGGACTGTAAGTTAAATGATCCAGTGGCTTAAAAATTAGATGTAATATAGAAAACCACAAATTATCCAAGCAGAACATTACTTCTACTTTCTCATATGACAAAACATAGAAATCACTTCAAAAAATTTTTACATATAGGCTATTTATGTTCTTTTTAGATTGGTATCAAGTGAAATCCATCCATAGCCAATTTATTAGTGGGTATTAGTTCACTTACATTTACTAAACTGCTTGTTATACTTATGCACAACTAGAAGTTCCTGAAAATGCAGGAAAGGATTTGATTTAGAGTTCATTTGGTCATAAGACACTACTTTAACTTTGGTTCACTTTTTATTACACTGATCACATCATGGCTGAGAATACACTGAATATTGTTTGTTGGTCTGACTCAGAATCATTCATAATGGACTCTCATCTTTGAACAAGACATAAAACAACAGTCTCCAGTAGAGCATAATGGTCTTAAATATTCCCAAGCTAGTCTCAGATGGAATGTTTCCTGAAGATATGTGAAAAGGTAGCTAGGATAAGAATGTGTAATGTCCACCCTGACACAAGAAGGGAGGCAAGAAAAAGATCATGCATTGAAATGATTAGCAAGTAACTATTTTATGTATTTACTAGCAATTTGAGGCAGATATGAATGAATAGGAATATTTGGAGGATGATCCTGATTGAAAAACATTTCAACGTATCCTCAGTCCAGTCAGAATAGTATGGTACTATATAGTATAAACAACTGCTCAGTGATACTTCCATTTATTTTACTTTTAGTAATAAAACTTTTTCTCTGTCTCATACATGGTAGAACACATATTTTGCTTTAAAATTAACATTCACAACTGACGAAATAATGGTTTATTTTTCTAATCAAGAGACAGAGCTTCTGAATCTGAAGACCTTAACAAATGTTGCATCTTATTATTTTCATTGAACAATAAGACCTCCTATTTTGATTATTCCTAGTGAATAGCAATTTTGTTTCATCAGTGGTTTCCATTTGCCAAACAGTCATGACAGATGGTTTAACATGGCAGCTTGTGCTTTCAGGGGATTCTATCAGATGAATCCTTACTTTCCAGGCAACACTGCTGGCAGTCTTTCATCAGGAGTCTATCCGTTGAGACTTCTTTATCGTGGTTGGCCAAGGAGTCCTGCTTTGGCTGCTAGGGCTTCATTCTGCTGAATATGATATTCCTGAAATCTCATAGATATTCTTTGTGTCATTTTTAAATATTTCTGTAAGCAATGTTCTGAACAGATGGTCTAGAGATAAAAGAAAATCCAAGAGGAAACACAAAAATTGATTTTAAAAAATGTATGCATGGGGGTACCTGGCAGCAGCCTACCCCCCGTGCTTACTAATACAATTCCTTTCTCCAAATCCCCCCCCCCAAAAAAAATGCATGGATTCCAAAAGAACAACCAGTGAGTGCTTTTCTTTTCTTTGAATATATCTGAGAATTAAATGATATTAACAAATAGCAAGTGCATATAGCATTTACAAATATTAATATATACTGAATGCCTACCAATTTGTAAGCACTAAATGCAATGATTAAGTCTCTGCCTTCTGGACTAGATTTTCTGCATGTATTTTAAAATATTAACTGAAAGCCTACATTCCTGTTCCTTTTACTGATTGATAAAATGTAGGCCCAGAAGCAAGTTTGTTCCTTTTCAATGAGAAGCTCCATTCTCAACATTTTAAATTTTCAAACTTTTACTTTTTAACAAGAATATTACCCTTATCATCTCGCAAACTTTGTCATTTCTTTAAGAAGGATTTACTGATTGCCAGTCATATGTTAACTTCTTGGCATGAATGTTGATATCAACATCTTTCACTGGAGGAAGTTGATATCACCTTTAGCCAATATATAAATGTGTTGAGGAAGCTATTAAAAGTTAAAATTTCTAATAGGATTGGGTTTCTAGGGTCCATCTACGCAATGAGCTGCCATATTCAAGCTCTGCTTTTTCTGAAAGTAACCTGAGTTCTCAGGGTCAGATAGAAAAGTCATGTCAAATTTCTTTAGCCTGGCTATACTGACAGAAAGCTAATTATTAAGAATCTTGCTATAAAAGAAACATTCAGCTAGTTCCAGGCATCTTCTCTAAAAAAGTTTGCTGTGGTAAAGCATGACTGTCCCATTAAATTCGGCATCACTGAACTCATTGTCACTGGTCCTTGACTGCTTCAGTTCCTGTAAGCAATGGTACATAGGGGATAGCTCAAATTCCTGTCATAACGAGGAACAAGAAATATGCTTAAGGGGACCCCACTTACACTGTTTATGACAAACTCAGAGAATTTTTAGTGGCCAACACTTTTCATACCTCTTCAGGTTTCACTTCTCTTGTTGTGAAGTCTTTAACACAGTCCAAAAAGCAGGTTTCTGTAAGTTTATTGTAGGTTCCGAGAAATTCCTTAAACTACAAACAAATCAGAAGTTTCTTTACATTGATGTTTTGTATTTAGGCAAAATGTGTTGTAATACTTGAACTCAAGGGTTCTTTAACTTAAAATGGGTATAATATGATTTGTATATTATCATTTACAAAATACAGTCTGATTTTCTAGTTTAATATTCTTTCCTGCATAACCTGTCAATTTACCTGAGAAACAAATATGCTTCATATCTTTTAATATCCATTTTTAGAAATTAAATAAAAACAGTTGTTTTGTGAGATCCCTGACTGACATGGTTGCATCCTGTAGTGCTTTAAATTTTTTGCAAAATTCTTTTTCCTTAATTATAATACCTTACCTGTTTTATCTGATCAGATTCTGGTATTTGTGCAGCCATATTCTTTTGGTATGTTTATTAGTCACCTGATTTAAAAATTAAAAAAAAGTAGTTTGTCAATCTGTAAAGAAATATTTTTAGTCTAGCTAAAGAGTTAGGTAATCAAAACAAGAATGTTTATGAACTAGAGCTGAGACAAGTTTACCTGAAATTATTGTTCATACTTTATACATTTCTAAACAAGAATGTAGTTATATGACACTCCTCCAATCTCCCAGGTCATTAATGACAATAAAGAGCCTTACAGTTTAGAATTAAATTTTTAAATACCATCTAGGGAACCCAAAGGCCCTGTCCATCTAAATCTCCAGATATGCTCTGCTACTTGCAAAGCCACATGTTAAAGACCCATTCCTAATAGTTTTAAGGGGAACCAAGAGATCTCTGCTGTCTTCCTGTAAGTACTCAAGTCAACAATTCCACTGGTTGCTAATGTAACTTTGAACTGTGCTACTAATGATTCTTTTATTATCTCTACTTAAATGTAGAGGTTCTATTATTTGTTAACAAACACCATCCACTTATAAGTCAACAACTCTAGTGAAAGATATTCAGAGTACTAAAAGGCTCTAAAAGGAGGTATGGAAGCTGCCCATTCTGCAAGTCAAAAATGTTAATCACAGAGACGTATTAGAAATTTCTGAACATGTGACACTTGTGGTTTAACTTGGGGGCACCAGAGAAATGAAGATAAGGAAGTCCAAAAGTCTTTCTGAGTTACTGGGGTTTTCTAATAACCTACATGGAGGGCCTAAGCTCAGTTAATCTAGATATAAGAATGAATCAAGTTATTTATTTATTCTATCCTGCCTAGTTCTAAAATGAATGAACATCTCATATAAAAAAAGATTTCTTTAAAATATAAATTAAACAGCATGTAAAAGGAAGAATAAGTAAATGCTAATCAGATATACTGCTGACTAACAGAATTTCTATGCATTATATTTACCTTTGAGTTCCTGATAGCAACTGCAAAAAAGATAAACTGGATATATTTATCATTCTTATTAGCTTATCAATTATTTAAAGTGGCTCTGAAAAGCATGAAATTTTCATGAAGCTTATATGGAGATAAAACCAAGTAGGAAATTCAAGCTTAGGGCAAACTGTCATGCTACCATCATGAAAAAACTCACTATGATTAATAATCAATGGTAATTCCATTCTAACATTCCCAATCATGTATACACCTTCCCCTCTTTTGCATTTATTCATTCCTCCTCTCCTTTCTTATCTCTAAGTTCATCAATATTACTGACAGTTTTTCCATATGAAGGGAAAGCACCAATTCTCTTCTATCTGCTGTGCTAGTTTTGTTCAGATATCACAGCCAATAGTTTTCTTTGAAGTAATGATTAATAAAAAGCGTTAAGTGTCTATACATCAAAGAATCTTTCATTTAGTAGTAACAGGACATCCTTTCTATTAAAAATTCTCTGTATTTGCTACAAAGAATGTAATACAAATTTTAGGTTAGCCCAACATTCAGGCAACTAGTTCCATAAGCAACTAAAATGTTAAGAAGAATGCTGTTTACTTCTACTTTATTTCACAGATTTATACTCTCTCTATATGTATACACGTGTAAATATACATATATGTGTGTGTGTATAAATATATACATATATATGTATTTTAACTATATCAACTACCTGAAAAATAACAAGAATTAACTGAAGGCCATAATTTTTCAGATATTGCTATGGCTATCATCATTTCATATGTTCCAGGTAAGATACTATCCATTAAAGTTTCCTTAGGTTATTAAGTCATGAAACATGGACTCTGTGCCCTTTGAAGATGGAACTGCATGGAAAGCCAAACCTGATTATTGCATCATCTTCTAATATCAACTTCAAACTTACTTATAGATCTTAGCAAATTACTATTCTAATTAATTGGTTGATATTCATTCAGTAAACATTTATTGAATGTGCCAGTGAAACCAGCCATGCTTCTGATGTGAGCTGCATCTTTATGGCTGCTGTAAAATACCACTAACCAGTCAAAAGAACCAGAGGATTTTTAAGTATATCAAACATTGAAGGTTAGGACTTGTGCTACAGGAAGTTGAGGTAGACGTGCTTTTCCCTATTATTTTCCCTAAGTACAGCTAAAAACCCTGGGCATTACATATAAACAAACATAAAATTTTAAAAGGTGGAGGGAAGAAAATATACTGGAACTTTCTTTTATACAGAACTCTTGGGACCTAAGAAACAAAACAGCGATGAATTCTCTTTCTCTGTTTTGTCCAATATTTCAATGACTTGGAGCTGAGAAAGCTGGCAGTCTGCACATGCCAACAGGGGCAGCCATAAAGCTCTCCCAAAAGCCAGCCCTCTCTAGCCAAAGAACTAGGAGAGGGGAAGCCTATGACAGAAAACTTAGTAACTGCTATGCTCCAAGCAAACAGAAAAATCTGTGGTCCTCATCCGTACCCACATCAGCATAAATTAGATTGGCTGCCTAGACCTCACCTCCACTCTCACTAGGCTATAAGGAGGCACTCCAACTCCCAAACCAGAGTGGTGACACAGAAAGGTGATGAGGCAGCAGGGTCTTTCATCTTTGCTAGGCATTAGTGAAGACTGCCTCCCCACCACTAAGTATTGGTGGAAATCATACAGGGAGCCTAGACTTCTACCTCAACTGGCAGTAATGAGGTAACCCTCTTCCCTCCCCTCTGGGGTGGTATCAAAGGACACTTAGTTTCAGGACTTTCATTACTATCCCCCATGGTAATTAGGCCACATACCCTCCTATGGTGTCAGTGGAAGGCACTCCAGTTCTTTCAACCAGAGAGATACCAATGGAGACCTAGTGGAGAGTCATAATTCCTACTCTACCTAGCAGTAAAAAAGAGCATCTCCCCTCCAACACCCCTCATGTGACAGAGTAAGGAAACTGGACTTGTATCCCACACCTAGCAGTAATGAGGTGACACTCTCCCTCCCTACTTCCTCTAATGGAGCAGTGTCAAAAGGAGCCAGCTGGAAGAGAAGGTTTAAACAAGATATAAAGCCTCTCATTACACAATATGAAAAATGTCTAGTTTACAATTTAAAAAAAATACCCATCATACCAAGAACTAAGATGATCTGAATGAAAAAAGACAATCGATAGATATCCAACACTGAGGTGTGACACATTAGAATTGTGTGACAAATATTTTAAAACATCTTCTATGAAGAATGCTGCAATTTTTGGTACTTCATTACTGCAAATCAAGGTGGAAATCCAGGCTTCCCATGTGGTTCAACAAACAATTATGAACATGCTTGAAACAAATGAAAAAACAAAGTCCCAGCAGAAATAGAAGGTTTCAAGAAGAACCAAATGGAGATTTTATGACATGAAAAATAACCAAAATAACAGAATCAACAATAGAATGGAGGGGCAGAAGAAGTAATCAGTGACTGGAAGATAGAAAACAGAATTATCCAATCTGAATAACAAAGAAAAATAGAAAAAAAAAGGAACAGAGTGCCAGGAACTTGTACAACTGTAACAAAAGATCTAACATTTGTTTCATTTGAGTCCTTGGAAGATGAGGGGAAAGAAGGCAGGGATGTAAAAGTACTAAAAGAAAAAATGATTGAAAACTCCCCAAATTTGGTAACAGAAACTTAACAAGATTCAAGAAACTGAATGAATTCCAAAGAGCATAAACTCAAAGAAGTTCATAAACAGATACATCACAAACACCTAAGAACTAAAAAAAAAAATTTGCAAGCAGCAAGCAAAAAGCAACATCCTGGGGAAAAACAAATAGGATAACAGCAGGTTTCTTATCAGTCAAACCTGAAACCTGTAGCTAGCAAAAATGTCCTTCAGGAATGAAGAGGAAATCAGGACATTCTCAAATGAAGGATAACTAAGAGAATTTGTTGCCAGCAGACAGACCCTAAAAGAAAGACTAAAGTTCTATAAAGAAAGGAAATGATAAAAGGAGACTTGGAACACTAAGGAGGAGGAAAAATGCAGTAACAGATAACAGAAAATAAGAGTAAGTAAACAAACTCTCCTTCTCCTGGTAAGTTTCCTAAATTATGTTTGATAACCGGAGCAAAAATTCTAGAACCACATTAGTTCTATATGTGTATTATAAATGGGAAGGTAAAGGAAGTAAGTTTTCTACACTTCACTGAAATTGGTAATAAGTTAGCACCATTAGCCTGTGATAACCAATGTATTATGTAATACCTACAGCAACCACTAAAAAAAGATAGGTAGGAGATATACTCAGAAACCAAAATGGAATTCTAAAAATTTTCAAGTAATCCAAAGGCAAGAAAAAAATAGATAAAAAACAGAACAGAAAACAAGATAAAATAGCAAATAAAATTTATTATTCTAATAAAAATTACATTAAATATAAGTGGTCTAGATAATCAAATGACAGAGACTGGGAGAGTAGATTAAAAAACATGACTACATATATGCTGTCTTAAAGAAATTTACTTCAAATATGATATACACAGGTTAAAAACAAAAGGATGGAAAAAGATCCATCATGCAAACATTCATCAAAAGAAATAGTGGATTGATATTTATATCTGACAAAGTAGACTTAAGAGCAAAGGAAATTACCAGACAGAGATATTAAGGGTTGATCCACCAAGAAGATACAACAATCCTAAATGTGTATGACCCAAACACAGCTGCAAAATTTGTAGAGTGAAAACTACAAGAACTGAAAAGACAAATATAGGTGGAGACTTCAACATCTCTCTTGCAAAAATTGATAGAACTAGACAGAAAATTCTTAAAGATACAGAAAAACTCAACACCAATAACTAACAGGATACAATCCACATTTATAGAACATTTCACCCAACATGAGAGAGAATACACATTTTTTTATCATGTGCCTAGGGGACACAAACCAAGATCAACCATATCTTGGGCTGTAAAATAGGCCTCAATAAATTTAAAAGAACTGAAATAATACAGAGTCTGTTCTCTGACCACAATGGAATTAGACTAGAAAGTAGTAACAGAAAGACAACAGGAAAATCTCCAA